GAATAGTTTAATGACTGTTTAATGGAGCAAAAATACTATGATAGATTAACAGATAGATTTTTAGGGAGGTAGACAGATAGGTAAATAAGTATATTTATATACATTTATGCATTTTCTCCAATGTATATACATTATATACATTCATATTGATAGAGATAGGTTTTAAGTAAATTGATTGGAATCAATCCTTTGACCATATTTTTCAGAAGAGAAATATGAATTTCACCCCGCCTCCCTCACGTCCTTTGTGGAGCAAAGCGAGGCAGAGTGTAATGTTGCAAAAGGAAGAATGTGGACAGAAAGAAAGCTAAAATGAATGACCCCTTCATCCCTGACTGTGCTTTTAATGCTTCATTTCTTTTAATGGGCCTGTGTTCCTTTACCAATCACCTATATCTTTCATTTAAGTGTAGCACTTTTTTATGTAGTAATGTAAGACAATCTTGCAGAGGCAACATTCTAACTGTAAAAAAAAAAAATCAACAAAGAAAATCACTGTTTGTTTATGTTTCTGTACATCAGAATCTTTTTTCAATTGATCAATCAGAGGGACTTGTTCAAGTGCTACAGTAAATCTACAGTGTGGAAGATCGCTCCAATTAATCTCAGGCAGCACAGCATAACGGAGCAGCAGTTTTATAATCCAATAGATTTCAAAGTAGGTTGTGTGGATGTTTTCATCCATGCAGCAGCGAGGATATCAGCCACCTTGGGCTGTTGTGTTAAATGAAAGGATGCAGTCTGAGGAAGTAGAACACTTCCTGACAAATAGTGAGTGCCGAACCTGTGGATGTATATTATTATTATGCATCAAACCTTTCATTTGTCTGTGTGTGCTGTCTTGCACATAGAAAGAGAATATACTAGAAAGAGTCAAAAATGGAGAGAGCGTTTTAAAATTACAGAATATCCTTGGGGAATCTAGTCAGGAAAATAAATATTTAATATTTTAGAGGCTGTACTGTGCAGGTTGCTTTCAGATGGTTATTTGATGGTTCTCCTGAATGCCAAACCAAAAGTGACATCACAGAGAAGGCCACTTGATCACCTCACTCAATTAAGGTTAATTACAGTCTTCTATACAAGTCGTCTTTAGATATATTTCAATATCTCTTTATCTGGTGTGCGCATTTTGAACACATAATAATACCATTCCGAGTTTGACATAAAAGGAGCCTAGAGATCCAAACACATATTTCTATTCAGCTGCTAGTGTAGAGAAGAAAACAAAACCCAAGGAAAGATAGGAAACTAAATCCACATTTGTCCCAGCATCTTCAATCCTCCGCATTGAGAGTGTGGGGACTCATTGTTCTGAGTCATTTCTAGCTTTCTTCTGAATAAAAACCTAAACCTAACCCGAAGCAAAAGCACCACATACACAGTTTTAGCAAACAAATTCATTAATAATATTATTATGTAACATCGACCAGGAGTTTCAGGCTTTGAATTTATTTATTTTTTAAAAGTGAAAAACCCATTTCTCGTGTAGGTCTTGTTCACTAGGTGTATGCTTCATTTAATTTAAATAGATGCTATATATAAACTCACTGCCCGTGTGCTGACCCCCTGTGCGTTTCTGAGCCTGTGACTCTTTATGGGAACAGAATGCCCGGTCTCTTTCCTGCAGAGCTGTTGGTGGTTCAGAACTGCCGACCCTGCATCTTGCTTAAACACTACACCAATAGAGCTCCTTATATATGTGTGTGTGTGTGTGTATGCGTTTCTTTATATGATATATATATACATCATATATATATGACACACATATATAAATGTCAAATCAAGTAAGACCCTAAAAACCCAAGACTAAACTCACTTCCTTCGCATCAATGGGGACTCACAGTGACCCTGTAGGGCAGGTAGAACTGCCCCAGTGGCTTTCCTTGGCTATAACTGTTAATGGGACTAGAAAGCCCAGTCTTTCTTGGCTGAGTGACTGACCGTTTTGAACAGCTCACTTTGTGGATTGCAGTGCAATGCATAACCACTATGCCCTCAAGGCTCTGAAGACACGGAAGAAGCATTATTAAGAAAATAAAGTTGATGAACTTGTCTTCAAGAAAATCAGAAATCATAGCATTCCTTGCTCTGGGGTTTGCTCTGTGATGTAGGTGGTGGTGACAGTTATGATGGGGTTGCCTCTGACTGATGGCCACCTTTTTTCTAGTGGAATGAAACACTGGTTGGTCCTGTCCTGTGCCGTCCTCTCAAGAATTGGGATACTTGAGCCCATCATCGTAGGGTATGGTACAAACACAATCCTCGTCCAAGACCACTGGCTTGCTTTGTCACTTTTATCAGGCACAGTAATAATAGATGGAAACTGTTGATGGAAGGTGCGAAATGCCAAGTAAGTATAATTAAAGATGTGTCCCTTAAATTAGCCTCTTGTCTGTGTGGGGTCATCTGTTGATCCCGACACTAGGACAAGTTTGTTTGTGTACAGAGCTATGGCTGCATTTTTCTGCACTCAAGGGAAGCCCAGCTGGTTAGTCACACACTCTTTTTCATCCAGCGTAGCTCTACTTTCCTCCATCCTTCCTTCCCTAAGGAAATGTCAGTCTATCAACTATAAAATAGAATGGTTTTTGCCCAATGGTCATGAGTAACCCTCAGGTAAAATGTTCCATTTAAAGGCTTCTATGGATACAAGGTTCTCTGAATGATTTTATGATGATTCTACTTTCATTGCCACAATGGAATCACAAAAGCTGACTTACATAGAGGAGACAAGTTCAGAGACAAGAACTAGACTTGATAACCCTCAATTTATAAGCCTAGTTCAGTTGCTAAAAATGCAAGTTTTGAGGAGCTATACATTATTTTCCTGTATAACAATCATAAGAGGAATTCTGACCCAGTGATTTTGTAGGATTTCTCTAGATGAAAATATCATCAAATTTAGTTAGACCTCTTGGCCTTTCAGAAAAGGACATCAATTTGTTTTCTCACAATGGCTTAGCTTGCACTCTCCTTTCCCCAGTGCTATAATGTGACTAGATCCAGAATCACTGCTGTGCCAATTCAAGTGATTTAACCTCGGCACATTCATGGGCTTTCACACCGCCCGCCGGACCCGCATACACGGCAGATCCAAAGTATGCAGAAATTACTTCTGTTTCACAAGGAGGGTGACTGGATTGATTCCTTTGCAAGATCATTTCATTAATTTTGTAGCATTACTTTTCTAGTATACTGAGGTGCCAGAAGAAATATTCTAATTGCTGACCTGTTTTTCAATACACACTCTCACACTCATAATAGGCGAAATTAAACAGCAACACCAAAATGTATCCACGGAACAAAAGGCTCATCCTTAAAGGGAGAGAATCTTTTCTCGTACTTTCCAGTAGGGGGAACTAAAGACTCACCGTTCAGTTTGGTTCAGGGACCCGCGTGAGTTTCTAGAACCCGCTTTCTAATCACCTCAACACGCTTCAAACAGCTACCAGCTAGCCTGTGATCACACCGGGCCCGGCCACACCAGCGGTGGCCAAACTGCCGCGTCCTTCGGATCAACTTGGGCTTTCCGCAATCATTCCTGGTACGGAGTGACGTTCACTCCGTGTTTGCTGGGTTCCCTTAAATGTCACGACAGTGGTGTCTAGTGATCCTTGGGCTGGGATTTCGACTACGCGGGGCGGGAAGGTTATGTTAGTTCAGTTGGGTTTTCAGCACCCGCCAATTGGGGGTAATGCGTGCCCAATATCCTTTCCAAGCTGCTCAGCAACACAGGTTTCAGGCTTCCACTGTCCCCCCAGCTCTTCCATACCAGACCCCGGTGCTAAGCATCTTCTGTTGAACTCCCTTGCATCCCTCGATTCCGTGTCAAACTCATCTTTGAGGGGTCTTAAGACCACTGAGCAACCTGGGAGGGCATTTCGCCCCTTCTCCTCTCCCCCCACCCCAGTGCCCCGTGCCCCGGGCCCCGTGCCCCGCGGATTCCGCAGGGGGCCATAGATCTGGCCGAAAACGAGCAGATGGACAGAGGATACGGATTTCCATCAAGTTCCCCCCCCCCTTTTTGGTGCGCCTTTTTTACGAACGGGGAAGCCCCCCCCCCCCCCCCCCCCTCCCGCACAACCTTTCCGCCCCAAAGGTGGCTGGGTTTTGCTCTCCGGCGCGTTGGGCCTCTCCTTTTGCTCAGAGGTGAAGAGGGAATGTTTGTGTGATTTTCCCGGGTAATGAGGCTGCGCCCTGGGTCCCGGAGAATGATCTTCTTCCCGAAAGCGCGTGCGGCTCCGGCAGAAGGAGGGAGGGATGAATAATTAGGAAGGGCTTCCATGAAATCACTCACCGAGAAAATTACCTGCCCATTAAACAGGACGCGTCCGGGAGCAGGGGGCCCGCGCCCACCTCGCCCTCCCCGCGGCAGGAAGCGGGGGGAAACCAGGAGGGGCTCGGCCGGGGGAAGGAGCGCACCGGCCGCCCGGGCCCTT